CAATAACAACAACATATATATATATATATATATATATATATATATATATAAAAAATCTTTGGAATCTGGTGTGTATTTTATACTTACAAGCACATCTTGCTTCAGACTAGCCACAGATTTAGATCAAATGAAGCAGGAACTGTGGGAACCAGAACTAAATGTGTGAATCCACAAGGAGATGGCCACTCAGCTCTAAGCCCTGAGAAACTGGGCCTAAGTGAAGGTGTGTCTGGAAAGCTGCAAGAGGTGCCCCAGTGCTGAATGATCAGGTATGGCTAGGCAAAAGGGAATGTACCCATGACCATATAGAAGGTTGGCAGATAATATTTCTACCGTACGTATTTGTAAGTGCTGTAAGAATGTCCATACAAATAGCACAACAGGGGGCAAAGTTACAATGATTTCTTAGGCACAGTCAACCACCCTGAGGAACAAGTTGTGGGACCTGTGGGCTCGGGACCATGGCTGCAGGGGACATCGAGCTCAACTAGCATAACGTACCACACAAAAACATTGTTCTACATCCTACTTTGGTTAAGTAGCGACTGGAGTCTTAAAAGCTTACAAATGGCCATCTAGATGCAATGATGGGTCTCTCCTCATCCAGAGCAAAGAAGAATGAAGAAAAGCAAAGATGCATGGAAATGATTAGTCCAAGGGGCTCCTGGACCATGAGAAGCTCAGCTTCTATGACCATGAGACCAGAAGAACTAGAGGGTGCCTGGCTACCAATGCCAACCACTCAGAAAGGGATCCATGTAGGAGATCCTGGATAGAGTGGGTGAACAATGTGGAACAAAATTCAAAATAAATAAATAAATAAATAAAAGACATGGTTTGCAGGTCTGATAGAGCCTGGTGAGACCCCTGAGACTATGGCCCCTAACTACCCTTCAGGTCTGGAACTGAACTCACTCCTGTGGCTTCCAACCAAACAATAGACAGCCATATGGGGTGAACATTTACATCAGGTAGATACACTCCTTGGAGCGATCAATCGTGGGAGAACAGAAGGACAGTGTTTGTACAGGGAGACAACTTGGGGCAGGGGCAGGAGTGCATGGGAGGGAAGGACACAGAAAGAGGTAATTACAGGGAAGAAATGAGAAGAGAGCTGTTACATTGTGGGGAATTGCAATCAATGTCATGAAACAACATGTGTATGAAGTGCTCTATGGAAAAACGAATTTGCTCTGTAAACTTTGACCAAAATCACAATAAAAATTAAAAGAAGAGATGCCCCAGTGCTGGCCAACTGATGCACACCCCCAGGAACACCCTGTCTATGGCACTCTGCTGGGGGCAGGCTAGACAGCTGAGCAGAGTGTTCGTGTACCATTCAGTCCATGGAGACACTACCTGTATCTGAGTCGGTGTGAGCCTCAACCAGTCTGTACATGATGCTGCACTGGGTGGTGGGTGGGCATGTCGTGTGTTTTAGAACAGAAGGGTTAGCGATAGAGACCCAAAGTTGGTGGTCAGGTGTGTGTCTCCTCACCTCCCACGTTAAGATGCAAAATTAGAAGGGGAAAGGTAACCCACAGGAAAGTAGAATATTTTGAGGGATCTGAGGGATCGCGTAGGGCTTAAAGCATTTGATTGCTAACCAGAAGTCCAGCAGTTCAAATCCACCAGCCACTCCTCAGAAGGAAGACTGGGCAATCTACGTCCATAGAGATATTGCCTTGGAAACCCAAGGTAGGGTTGCCATGAATTGGATTAGACTCGATGGCGGTGAGTTTGGTTTATCACTCAAAACAGAGAACTTTTTAGTACCTAAGAGGGAGAAACAGGCAGCTTCAACGTTTCAAGCTTTCAGATGGTCAATTTTTTTGACTCCTCATTTGAGGATCTTTTTTTAATGTTGTTTGTTTCCCACCATCCTTCCTGCCTCCCACTCCTACGCATACATTCTAAACCTGACTCCAAAGAGGGACTTCAAACTCTCCCCAGCCCCCGCTTGGGCTGCTACTTCTGGGAATGGATGACTAATATTCCAAGCAGCCCCACCTTTCCCCCCTCCCTGACTGGCTTATCAGAGCTGTGAGGGAGACAGAGGGTGTAGAACATCCTTTTCCCTTTTCCCCAAAATGAGACGTGTTTGCCTGCTTGAGACTTCCCAGGCCCTCTACCACAACTGATTCTGTGAAGAAGTGTTGGCCAGCCATATGGGGCAGTGTTTCTGGGTGCCTCTGTCCACCTCAGCCACTGGGACATCACATCGTGTCCCCTGAGGGAGCTCCCGGCCCAGCTCCCCAGACAGAGCAGTGATGGCCCTGCACTCAGGAGTAAAACTGGGGCAGGATACATACAAGCACAGACAGACATCAGTCCCCAGGGGTTTCTGAGGACAAGGGTCAAAAAGGGTCACCTGAAAGGAAAAACACCAAGATCTAGATACTGTGCTTGAGCCCAATACAGGGGCCTGTGGCTCCATGCCAGGAGAAGTCTTCTGAGGAAAAAGCAGTTACGCACACAGACACAGGAGACCGATACCGGGGCACGGAAGGACAGAGGCGGTTCGGCTCTGGCCCCATTTATTACAAAATAATGATTACAGATCTGGCACAGAAAAGATCCCTGCGATGCTCCACATCCTACAGGGCCTCTGCCCTCAGGCCCTCGGACATAAGGGGCTCTCAGATGCGTAGGTCCCCAGCCAGCAGGGCACTGTACCGGGCAGGTGTGAGAGGCAGATAGGCACCCACAGCCTGGTCCAGAATGTAGAGTGGGTCAGGTAGTAAGCTCGGGTCAAAGCCCTCATTGGCCATCCGGACCTTCTGCTGTTTGAAGGTCTCTGTGGTGGCCAAAGACTCCTGAGAAGAGGAAGAGAGAGGGCCAAGGGTGGTGACAGATGAGGGATCTGCCCTTTCATGCCAATCCAGGGGTCAACCTCTGTAAGATGCCCAGCTGGATACAGAGGGTGAGGGGCAGGTCTGGGGAAAGGGGATGTAAGGTCTTAGGTTAGCGGGGAGAGGTGACAGGGAAGACAAAGAGCCAGACTTGAAGATGGAGAGGATACAGAGAAAGAAGGGAGTGAGAAGCAGGGGCCTGGGAAGGAACTCTGCTTCCTCTTCACAGAGTGTGTTACACGGGGGCCCCTTGGTGGAGTTCAGGAGCCATGTTGTGTACATATGGGGTGGGAGGTGGGAACAGGAGAGTCTGGTTACCTGGAGTCTTAGGAATCGAGGCCGGGCATAAGGGGGCAAGTTCTCAGAAACGTGAGCATAGAGCTGCCCAAGGTCCAAAGAGCTGGGGGGACGCAGCACCAGGGCTGCCATTCCAGCCCTTCCTTCATGCCCTGGTGGGGAGAAGGCAGGGTGAGCCACCCCATGGCTGACCACGAAGCCCTCATGCTCCGTGAACCCAAATATTACCCTCTTGAGGTGGTGGCTTGGATGCCTCCCCCACCTCCTATGCCTAGGCACCTGGCACAGTGACTCCATAGACGTTCACCTCCTGAAGGGAATCCAGGGCCTCCAAGACCTCAGCCACCTCAGTTGTGGCCACATTTTCCCCTTTCCATCTGCCAGAGAGCAGAGATTCGAAAGTGTGAGTCAGGCTCGGGGTCTTATGAGCTGGTTAGAGAGAAAAAGAGGTCAGGGTTGCGCTCAGAGACAAGATGCTAGACTATCACAGGGATTAAGGGTTTAGGAGTCAGAGAATGAGAGATCAGATAAAGACCTGGGTTGAGATGGGAGATTAGGGAGTTGAAATTTAGGGGGTGAGGTCCCAGAGATCAGAGGTCAAGGACAAAGAATTAGGAAGTTATGGACAGATACCTGAAGGTGTCTCCAGTACGGTCATGGAAGCGAAGAAAGCCTTGGTCATCACAGACCAGAAGGTCCCCAGTGTTGAAGAAAACATCCCCAGGCTGGAAGACATCTTCTAGCAGCTTTCCCCGGGCTAGCTCTGGGCCCCCAGCATAGCCCAGGAATGGAGAATGCTGGCTCACCGGGGCCACCAGCAGCCCTGGCTCACCTGGCAGAGTCACTGGGGTCAGAGGTGGCTGCCCGCCTAGCCCACAACCTCCTGCCCCCATCCCACTCTAGCCCCCAAAACCTCCTCTGCCAGCTTCACCACCCCCACCCTCTCCACCTCAGCACCAACCAGGAGATGTGGCCACACAGTGCCCCCGGGCATCCCGAACTGGCTCCCCTGTGGTGACATCATAGCGAATCAAAGAGAAGGGGAAGAGGCGCTGGGGGAAGGGAGACCCAACTGGGTCATTTCAGTTGGCATGAGCCCCCTTGCCCCCGATTTCCCACTGCTCTCCAGCTTCCCTCATTTCCTTCCCTGTGTCTCACCTTGTAAAGCCAAGAGGCTCGTCCTACCGCACCCTGCTGTCCCGTGTAGTTGAAAGTGGCCACGTTCCCCTCTGTCATTCCATATGTCTCCAGCACCTGCAGGGGCCCAAAGCGCCGCACAAAACGCTCCCAGGTGTCTGGGCGCAGCCCACTGCCCACTGCCAGCCGGACCTTATGGCCGTGCTCAGCCTCACTCTGAGATGGGGGAGGAGAGAAACAGGAGCTTCAGCACTAAGATGCCAGCTTTCTCAAATAAAGTGCTGCTCCCCATTCCTCAGCGCCCCCTCCCAGTGTAACCTTCAGATGTTCGATTCCATCTCAGGCCCCTCATCCCATCCTGGGCTTCCTCCCCCTTCAGTTCCCAGGCTGGACTCTGTCTCAGGGTCTCCTGTCAACCATCCTGCTCCCTGTGACCTGTCTTCCTCCCTCAATGGCTCTGCCCCAAATCTGTGCACACACACACACACACACACACACACGTATGCACGCACCGGGGGCTGGTTGACAAGGTATCGGCACAACTCCCCGATGTACTGGAACACCGTCACTCTGTGCTGCTGGCAGTCCTCCCAGAACTGACCAGCTGAGAACTTGGACTTCAGCACCACTGTGGCCCCTGCCAGAAGCAGGAGGGGAGGAAGGAAGGAGGGAAGTTAAGGGCACTCAACTCCCCATTCCCAGATACCAGCCATCACTGTGCGGGTCACACTTTCAATAGCCAAGTGGGCCCTCTGCTTTTCCCATTTGTGCCTTGGATAGGTGGCTGCCCTCTTCCTATTCCCTGCCTCTAGATGCCTCATCCCTTGGTACCCCTACCTCCAGCCCAGCCTTCTTCTTTTCCATCTGCAGGGACTGACACTCCTTCCCTTTGACCCTGGAGTTCTCTGAACTGCATGGTCTCCCTAGTTGCTCAATCTGTAGGTCTGTGCAGATAATGCTTCCCTATTTTACCAGGAGCTCCTGGAGGGTGGGGCGCTGCCTCCTTCTTCCTCTGGATTCTCTACTCTGAAGGGCTCAGGAAGCATGCCCAGGTAAGCACATGGTAGGCACTCAATAAATGTTTGTTGGAATAAACATTTGCTGGAGGAATGTATGGGCATGATTGTGTGTGTGTGTGTGTGGGGGGGCGGACAGGAAGAGGAGAAACTGACCGATGCCTAGGCAGCCCACAATGCCCAACAGGGAGCCAGACATGTGGTAGAGAGGCAGCGCCAGGTAGATAACGTCGTCCTGGCGAATGCCACACAGCTGGTAGAAGCCCTGGCATTGTAGGATCTTCAGATGACTGACCCGAGCAGCCTTGGGGAGGCCTGTGGGATGGCAGTAGGGAGGTAGGGAGGGTCTGAGCTCCAAGCCCCACCATTTGGTCCTTGCTCAGTTTCCCACAGAAAGCAGCAGAGGCAGGAGCAGAAGCTGAGAAGGAGGAAAACAGGCTGTCCTGGAAATGTGGGCAGTTTGGGGAAGGTGAAGAAATGATGAAGGTGAGACGGGGGAAAGGGAGGATGTGGCCACTGGGACCAGCATCCTCTCTCAGGGATGGCCTGGGAGCTGAAGTCACAGACCGTTGTCTTCCTCTGCCTTAGTTCCTGTGAGGTAAACATGGGGGTGTCCAGCCCTCACCTGTGGTGCCAGACGTGAAAATGTACAGGCACGTGTCCGTTACGTTCCGGGGAGCCGATAAGTACCCAGGCACGGGCTCATCCATTTCAGCAGAGGCCGCAGCCTGCAAATCGCTGATTCCCGCGGGCAGTGTTCCAGGGCCTGCAGCCCATAGGCAGAGCCCCATGGCTCTAAGGGCGGGCAGGTCAGGCTCCAGGGACCCCAGGAATTCTGCATCGGGTGGGAAACACAGCTCCGCGGCTCTGCCGCTATCCAAAAGTCTTCTCTTCCCCCTAGCCTATTTCCTGGCACTCCTCTTGGGTGAGGGTGAATAGTATGGCCATCCCATCACAGATCTGGGACCTGGAGCCACAAACCCAACCCTACCCCATGTAAACCTAGAAACCCATTTCTGAACCCCACGGAGACGGTCCTTCCAGACCCATCTGTGAGCCCCCAGGCACGCCCCTTTCTATGGCTGGCCTCGCCCATTAGTCGCGTGCGACAGCCTTACCTGGCGCCAGCACCAGCGCGCGCGCGCCGCAGCTGCGGAGGCAGTGCAGTAGGGGGCCCCGGCGCAGGGCGGTGGGCACAAAGGCGGTTCGGAAGCCAGCCTTGGCCAGACCGAACCACAGCCACAGGAACTCTGGGCTAGCGGGGAGAAGCAGCGCCACTGTCGCCCCGGGCTCCAGACGGGCCGCAGCTACTCCAACTTTGGATGTCCCAGCCCATTCACACCCGGCAAATGCCGCTCCGCTTCCGGCCTCATCTCGTGCTCCCAGCGCCGCCCGCTCGCCTTCCCTGGCGCTCTGTGCACCGCCGCCACTTCTTTCAGGTCCCCCGTCCCAGGCCCGCGCGCGCAAGAAGGCACGCGCAGCTCGGTTACTATTGCGCTCCGCCTCCGCGTAGCTAAAGCGCCTTACGCCGTGAATGAGAAAGGTGTGCGCGGGGCGCTCCCGGGCCAGCTGAGCGAGGCGCCAAGCCAGGCTGCAGCCCCCCTCGGGACCTTTCGGGTCGGCGGCAGCCGCAGCCAGGGCGCGAACTCGAAGAGCCCGTTTGCACCGTAAGGCGCGCACGGTGAAGGCCAAATCTGCCGCGAACCAGCGCAACTGTGGCCAGAGGTGCAGCTTCAGCAGGAGCAGCGGCAGCAACAGAAGAAGGGGCAGCAGGAGGAGAGCGGCCATAGTGCCCTCTCCCTGGACTCGGCACTGTTCGGCTCCAGCCTCTCGCAAACACCCAGATATTTCCTCCCGAAAAACTGGGGCCGCTCGTCCTTGCTCTTAGACCTCTCCTTCCTGGGAGCGCGCGTGCGCTGGCACACGCCCCTTCCCACCCAGGCCCCTCCACTCCCCACGGGGCGGAGAGCAAAGGCCCGGGAGGAGTGGGGGGTGCAGCCCCCGACTCCCCGCCCTCCCCACGACCTACGCTCCGCCCTAGGCCCGCTCCCTCCCAGACTACTCGAGGCCCGCACCCTACCAGGTCTTGGGCGGTGTGCTCCTTAATCCTAGGATCACGTCCCTGCTTTTAAGGTTTTTTCCTCCCCGGGAGGGCTTAGGCATCTGGCTGGACTTTGGAGTCTTGGTCTGAGAGCCAAGGCATTTGGATCACCTTTCCCCCATCTTTCCCGTTTTTACCCATGATGGGAAGGTACTCTCTCCCAAGAGACCGAAGAACTCGGACCTCCGTCTGTAGGGTGCTGCAAGTCCCAGCACGGCGGCCAGACCCATGCCCTCCCCGTTAGCCGCCAACAGCAGCAACCCCAGGGGATGGGTGGGGGCCCAAGAGCTAAGTAGGGGAAAGGTGGAGGCCCAGACCGCCAGATTTCTGGAGGAGCCACGGCGAAGGCCCCTCCCTTTGGGCAATGATACAATAATTGGGGCCAGCCAGCGAATGCTTTCCATCCTGATTTTAATTGGGGCAGAGGAAACTGGGGAAGGAGAGGAAGCAAAAGAGGCGGCCTCCAGCGGTTTAGGTTTTCAAAGGAGGGAGTAGCAGCTTTGAGGGACGGGAGAACCTGGATTCTGTAAAACGAAATTCGCAGGCAGAATCGGAGGAGCTGTCTGCAGTCAACCCAAACGGCATTGCCCTCTCCCCTCAGCCGGCCTCCCAATCTCCCTGGGCAGCCCGGGGGGGGCGGGCGCACAGCAGCACATTTAAGGAGCTCCTTCCTCCTGGTCCACGTGGACCTGCAAGTGGCCAGAGTATGGAAGGAAGAGGGCCCCTCCTTCCCGGTGTTTGAACTCTCTCCCCACCAGGCACACTGCAGTCATTCAAGCCCCAAGTTCAGAACACCACTCTAACTCCCAAGGGGTTAGTTCTAAACCCCCATACAGGCAGTTAGAGTGACTTTGGCGAATGTTAGCTTTTCAAAGCGTTTGGTCTCTTGAGAATGGGTCAGGGCCTATGGGAGAAGATGCTAGCATCCCTTTCGCAGAAGCAGGCTCAGTGCCTTCCTGCCTGCACTGCCAGCGGTAGCAAGAAGGATGGCAGAGTAGAGCCAGTCCCTCCTGCTATAGTCAAGAAGTGGGGCAAGGCAGGAAGGGAAAAGAGGCATGTCTCAAGGCCACAAGCAGGGGTACTTATTACACTGGGAACCCCCTGTACGTGCACAAAGGGTAGGTGGGGGCAGCAACTCCCAGCACAAAAGAGATTCTGGCTTGTTTTATTGTCATTTAAAAACAACTTTTAAAATGCTAATATCTGACCAAAAGAAAAAAAAAAATCCAAGGAAATGGGATCACTTGTCAGTTCTGTGAAACTTGCTTCTGGGACTCCCCAGGGCTCCGGCCCAGCTGGAGGTGCCAACCTCAGCCAATCCAAGCTTGCAGAGCATACCTCCTGGGGCAGGCCTCCCCCTCAGGTTCCTTCTTGAGCACTTGTGGCACATGACCCGTGGTGAGACACAGGCAGCCTGACCAAGTCACAGGCTGGATACCCATTTCACATTGGTGTATGCAGAGTGACTATAAAATGTCTGTTCAGAGCAAACCAAGACCTGAAGGGGAGAAGAGGCGCCCTCCCACTGAGTCTCTACTCTCATCCTAGCTTCTCTGACCAGATGCCCGTCATTTCTTTTCTCCATTGAAACGGTCCTTGAGGGGAAGGGTGGAGGACTGAGGACTTCCACAGCAGTCAGTTTTGCACAGCCTCTGGCCTCAGTGGGAACCCAAATATTGGGTGGGAGAGGCAGTGTGATCCAGCTGGAGGCCCCCCAGGAAAGGCAGGAGGAGGGGCTGGGGGCTGCATGGCAGCTTCTCAGGATGGACTTGATGAGGAAGTGCATCCTTCCCACTGGGCAAGCTTTGGGATGGGGAGAGGGTACGTCCCCTGTGATCTCCCCAGTCCCTATTAACCTTGATTCACCAATGAGGAGAGGGCAGTCTGACTGGGGGTGGTAGGGAGCACAGGCTCAGTCACTGTCAGAACCCACCGCAGAGGACCCCTTCCGTTTCCGCTTGGTGGGCTTCGGTTTCGTGTCTTCCTCTTCCTGGAAGAGAACGGGAAAGGCGAGGGGGCAATGACTGGTCTGGGCAGCCACTGGCCTCAACCCCACCTGCACCCTGTGCTCTGTCTCCCGGGCTCCAGCCGAGGACCACACCGAGGCACTGCTGGAGCCTGACTCCTCCTCAGCGTTGGGGGGCTGTGTAGCATTCTTTCGACTTCGTGGGCTGGACAGAGCTGCTTTTCGCCGGCTCTTGGGTGGCTTGGTGGAAGAGTCCTCATATTCCTCAGCCAGGGAGAAGAGGTCGCTGAACCTGGGGAAAGAAGGAATCTCAGAGTGGGGGGCATCCTGGTCCTAGGTCCACCCTCACACCCTCTGCTCTGGCCCTAGACCTGGGTCTTTATCTCTCTTCAACCCCAGTGTCTTGCTGGCCATTAAGTTCCTGTCTCCCCAGCAGGCCTCCTCCCTGCCACTCCCCTGGCCAAGAGGGCAAGGAGCCTCACTTCATCTTGTGGGCTTCGTCACAGCTTGCCTGGACGTGCTGCAGAGCCTGGAGAATTGGAGTCTGGCTGAAAACTACAGGGAGAAGGACAGGGACAGGCAGGCAAGAAAAATAATTGGGTATGTGGGAGTTTATTAAACATCCAAAGGCTCTTTTCTCTAAATGGGTTTGGGCTCTGCCCCTGCCCCGGGGAGCTCCAGGGGTGGTCTGAGCCGGGGCAGCCCCTGCACCCTTACTCAAGGAGGGGAGGGAAGCATACAGTTCTGCTTGGTGTTGGTCAGGTTGAGGCGCAGGTTGTCCAAGTGCTCCAGGATCTGCTCCAGGGTCAGCTGGGCCAGCTTACTGCTGGAGCTCCTCAGGCTGCGTAGGCGACCAGAGGCCAGAGTCTGAGTGTGAAGTGAGGCTCCAGGAGCCTTGACCCTCCCATCCCTTCCCTGTGTGCACATGCGTGCAAACCCCACCCCCACCCGAATTTCTCATTAAGACTAAAGGCAGCTCATTCCAGGAGGGATGAGTGGGATAGTACAGGAGATGTGCCTAGAACACAGGACCCTGGCCATCTGAGCAACAGAAAAGAGGCGAAGGCGCCACAGAGGTCCTGCATGCCATGGAGTTTCACACCACTAGATGTCGTCCACAAACCAGGCTGAGCAGTACTAAGCAACCTGCCACTGCTGGCAGCAGTCACTGCAGACCGCCCTGGTGAAGCCCTGTAACTGTGGGCAGGAGATGCTGGGCAGCCTGGCCTGGAGGGTCTCCACAGGACCATGGCACACCTTTGCCTCTTTCGAGGGAGGCTGTTGTTCTTGATGAGCAAGGACTTGATGTGCTCAGCCAGGAGTTCGTCGTGCTTCATGCACCAGTGCCGTAGGATGCTGGTGGTGAACTGATCGTCGGGGTGGCAGGGCCGGCTCAGCACCATCTTGACCATCTCCTCACTGGGCCTGGGGGTGTGAGCGGGCAATGGGTGCCATGTCACATAGCTGCCTTGGGAACTGCTAGATCTCTCTATGTACCAATTTCCCAAATCCCAGCCTCCCCTGCCCCACCCGAGTCTCCGTGATGTTCAACTCTCACACGGCTCTGGCTCTTCTCGTCGGGCTGATGCCTGGTTCCCGTGGGGGACACCAGGGGACGGGAAGTGAGATTCTTCAGTGTCAGTGGGAGCAGGAGGTGTGCGTGTAACGGTGTGCTGGGAAGGAGGCCCACCAAGCCTCCCCCACCACCATCCCAAGACAGAACAGGGCCAGAGAGGCAAAAGGACAAGCAGGTGATGTGTGGGTGCTTCCCCGCCCCCACCTGCTAGAGCTGTGGGCCAACCTGGCATCTAGCCCCAGGAAGAGGCAGGGGAGAGGGCTGTGACGCCTCAGCCTGCACGTAGCCCCCACCTCCCCACCTCCTCTAGGATGCTCTGTACAATTTCTAGTTTCTCAGGTGACAGAAATGGTAGAAGGAAGAAAAGGAAGGAAGGATAAAATACCAGTGTTGCCCGTGAGCTGGGGCATGTTGGCAACGTGCCTGTGAAAGGACATTCTGCCCTCTCCCCTCTTGGCCTCACCCCTGGGTGGAGCACAGTGGGTCCAGCTGGCTCAGTTCTGGGCAGGTCAAGGGGAGATGGTGTGTGTTCCTTTTACTCTGACCCTTCCTGCTTCTGGATTAGCCCTATGGTGGCTACAGAGCATGGGGGAGGGGAACAGGAGTCACCAGTGACTAGAACTGCTGTGGCAGCAGGAAACTGGGATGTCCGGTCCCCAACAGTCCCCACCTCCAAGGGCAGCTCCTGGTGGGCAGGGGAGTAAAGTCAGAGGAAGCCCAGATCCCAGGGGAGCTGCTTATTTGTTAAGTCACTTTGGGGGAAGGGCAGAGTAAGCAGATGTTGAGGACAGGGAAAAACACAGCACAGGGAACAGGACAGGAGCCCTTTCCCTACAGCCTCTCTTGGTATGTTGGCATCAAGGGTTAGAGCCCCCAGGCGTGGAACTCACTTCTCTCTGCGGAGCTGAAGCAATAGGCAGGACAGGGCCTCAGGGTGCTCTGTGGGGGAAGAGTAGAAGCAGAGGCTGCTCAGGGAAGCGCATAATCCCAGGAAGAGATCTGGGCATCTCTCCCACCCCCTAACTAACACCCACTGGGAAAAGCAAGGACATCTTCCATGGAGCCCGGGAGACTCCTGATCCCACTCTTAGAAAATCCCTGAGCCCCGACAGCAGCCTAGGGCCTGGCTCACTGGGGGCCTGCCCTCTGGTCCTTAGGTGGGAAGGGGAGCAGTGGATCTGAGCTCCCCTAAAAGCCTAGAGGCTGCAGCCTTGCCCTAGCTTTCTCCATGCTCGCTACCCACAATCCTACTCACCCTTGTATTTGAGGTGCTGTAGGATAGGGATTATGGTCTCCAGGGGGATGTTGTGGGCCAGGAAGAGCTGCCAGGCACAGTACTGCTCAAAGGTTTCCCAGTCTAGGCTCTGGACTGGAAGGGACAGAGAAGAAACATCTGTGCCTGTCTGTCTGTCTGACAGACACACACACACACACACACACACACACACACAGATAATCCGCTGAACTACGAACACCCCAAGCAGGGATGGGACAGGGGTCGGGACAGCGACTCTAAAACTACGAATCCTCTGTCTTTCGAGACACAGCTCATTTCTAAAGCCTTCACTTCCCCAAGGCTGGAGGGGTGAGGGTAAGTCCTTCCATTTTATTAGGCAAGAAACAGATCCAGAGAGACATTACCTAAGACCACACAGCAGGGTGGGGCAATGTTCTATTCCCTTAACATCTCAGCCTAGATCAGCTTTCCTGATGCTGGAAAATACACGGACAACCCCTCCTCCCCCCTTTTTCCCTCTCCCAGGGAACCTAGGAGGTTTGGTCACTTACTAAGTATGTTGAGAACTGAGTCTTTTCGAAACATGACCAGGTTCCCCATCATCACATGGCAGACCAGCTCCTGGAGCTGCGAGGGAGGAGGAGGAACCCATTAGCTCTAAAGAAGGCCAGGAAGCTGGTAGAGAGGGCGAAGCAGGAGGGCTCATGTGGGGAAAAACCACTGAACTACGAACCAGAAAAACCAGAGGAAGTGAAAAGCCTGGTATAAAGGGAGGAGAGGAAATGATACGTGATGGATGTTGAGGTCTCTGAGGGATGAAGGGGCTGGTAAAGGAGCAAGGGGGCCAAGCGGGTAAACAGTTATGAGAAACCACCTCTGGCCGCTGCTGGCAGAGGGAGAATGGGCAACTTCTCCAGCTGGCCTCAGTTTGAGCCTCTGACTCATGCTAACCTGTGCCTGAAGAGGTGGGAAGGCCCATGAGAGGCTGAGTCCTGGTTACAGGTGTGGGGATGGGAAGGTAAAGGAAGAGAGGATTCTTGGGTACCAAGCTTCCTCTTTTATGGATGGAAAACTGAGTGGAGAAGAGGAGCAGAGAAGGGACCCCAGTTCAGGCCAAGAATGGGTCCAAGCAAAACTGTAGCCTCTTGGGTACCTATGTTCAACAGAAAGGTCAAGTACAAACACTGGTAATTTGCATTCCCAGCCAAGGGGAAGGCCAGATGAGAGCTGAAAATGCATCTCTTCAGTTTTCCCAACACGGACACACTGGTGCCCAGAGAACACGGACAGCAAGGGCACTCCAGACAGGACTGGCCTGAACCCAGCCTGCCTCCCTTGGGCCCCATTATTCTTTCCTCAGCTCCAGTGGCCTAAGTGCCTACAAGTGTAGCCTGGAGGCAGAGTGCCTGTGGAGCGCCTGCAGGCCAGGAGAGAACAGTGCCCGGTGTTTCCCAGTCCCTGCCCAGGCCTCCTGGGGCTGTCAGTTCTAGGTTCACCTGTGCAGAGTCAATCACAGCCACAATCATGTTCAGCAGTTCCCCACTCCTCAAGGTTTCATCTGGAAACTGAACAGAAAGAGAGGGAAACTAGGGCAGGAGTTCAAAGTGGACCCCTGGCTTCACCTCAAAACCCATTCTCTTTTGTTATCACATGCTCAGGGCATTACTGGGTCTGCCAGACACAAGGTCCTAATATAAATCCCTAAACAGAGATCCAATAGCTGTGAAGCTGAGAATCTGATCCTTGAAGACACCAAGTTTTGTTATTTGTGTGTGCATACTGTGTATGTGTGAAGAGGAATGGGGAACTATGTAGAGATAAAGCTAGAGGTGAAAGAGACTGGATTATGATGGCTAGTTCTGTGTGGAACAGATGATAAAATAAACATTTATGTCCCTGGCAGCAAAGAAATTCAATCTATATTGACCTCCTAGCCAAGAAGAGAAAGCGCAGAGTATGTGTGTCTATTTGTCTGCCGTGTATGTGAGGGGCGTGGGAGGTAGGCAGGAGCCCTCTGCAGAAGCCAGTTCAACAGGGAGGCAGTGGGGGGTAAGAGACTGCCATCTGTTTGGCATCTGGATCCCTCCTCTCTGTTCTGGGCTGAGATCACAGTTCCTCTTGTCATGCCCACACCCTGTGCTCTGGTTTCCTTGTTCCTGGGAACTTTTACCAAGAGGAGGAAGAGCTGATACCTCCTTCTATCTGCCCCAGTTCTTAGAGAAGACTGTGAGTGAGCCAGGGGAAATGAAAGTTAAGCCTCTACTGCAGAGGCCCTTGTTTCTGAGAATCCTTTTAGAGAATCTGAGGTGGGCCACTGGAGGGCTTGGGGTATATGAACATGGGTCTGGTCTGGGGGGACCTGTTCTGGGTCAATAAGATAGGGCCAAAGCTGAGAAGCCAAGTGTACAAGCCCAGACCCCAACTCACACCATGGCTATGTAGGGTGCCAGACGCACCAAAGGATAGGCATTCTGGAGGTTGTACAAAATTTTCTACCCTCAATAGTGGTGGAAGGAGAGAACACGGCTATTGTGGGAGGAAATGGCCCACCAAGGTCAGTGAGGATGGGTAAAGAGGGGTGAGCCTGTGTGCAGAGCTTACAGGTGCCATGAGCCTCTTCCTGTACCGCCGTCCCCATCCTCCCACACAGATATGGAAGGAGGCGCTGACCTCTGTGTAGATGGAGGGTGTGAGGTGGCACAGCAGCCGCACGTCGTCTTCCTGACAGGCCTTCATGTCCATCATCAGGCAGGTGTGCAGATCACCCAGCTGGGTGGCCTGGGCAAACGACTCGTACAGGTTCATCTTCCCCGCGGCGGCTTTACTGCAAGAGCAGGTGAGTCTGAGCCAGCACCCTAGCCTGAGGACCCAGCACCCAGCACCTCTAAGCAGGCCCCAGCTTAGTGCTCCTGCTCTGTAATCCCTTCGTCTGCCCTAGATACCCTGTGCCACTCTCTCATGTCCCTTCTCTGCCTTCTCCAGGATCCTGACAACATACCAAGAACAGGAGAGGGTGAAACCCAGACAACACTAGAAAAAAACACCTTTCTTTCCCTTACATTCCTCTTCTTTCTGGGTTCTAAACCATGAGGGCAGTAAGACATGGAGACCCCGACTCCAATCCCTACCTTGCATCATGTACAAAACTTAACTCAAGGTGAATTACAGACCTAAATGAACTAAAACTGTAAAACTCTTACAGGTAAACACAGGAATTATTTTCATGATTTTCAGTTACACAATGGGTTCTTGGATATGATAACCAAAAAAATAAAACAGATAAACCGGACTTCTTTAAAATTAAAAGACTCTGTGTTTCAAAGGACACCATCAAGAAAGTAAAAAGACAACCTACAAAATGGACGGAAAATATTTGCAAATCATCTATTTGATAAGGAACTTATATTCAAATATATAAAGAAATCTTAAAACTCAGTAAGACAAAACTCCCAGTGTTTCCCAATTAAAAAATGGGAAAGGTTTTGAAGACATTTCTCCAAAGAGGATCTCACATGGCCAATAAGTGCATGAAAAGATACTCAACGTCATTAGCTATCGGGAAATGCCAATCAAAACCACAATGAGATTACCACTTAACAAACATTAGGATGGCTAGAATAAAAAAGACAGAAAATAAGAAGTGTTGGTAAGAATGTGGAGAATTAGAACCCTCATACATTGCTGGTGGGAATGTAAAATGGCTGCAGCTGCTTTGGAAAACAGTTTGGTGGATCCTCACAAAGCTAAACATAGAGTTAGCATGTGGGCCAGCAATTTCATTCCTAAGTATACACCCAAGAAAATGGAAAACGTAGGTCGACACAAAAATCTGTACATGAATGTCCACAGCACGCATGTCTGGCTGGTTTTTCATGACAGCCAAAAAGTGGAAATGATCCAAATGTCCATCAACTGATGAACGGATAAAACAAATGTAATATAGTTATATAATACAATATTGTTTGGCTATAAAACAAAGAATGGAGTACTAATACACACTACAACATGGGTGAACCTTGCAAATATTACGTTAACTAAAAGAAGCCAGTCACAAAAGATGACACACTGTACAATTCCATTTATATGAAATGTCTAGAATAGGTAAATCCAGGGAGACAGAAAATAGCTTAGTGGCTTGCCTAGGGCTGAATGGAAGAGAAAATAGAGAGTGACTGCTAATGGGTATGGGGTTTCTTTTTGGAATGAAGAAAATGGTCTAGATTAGGTAGTGGTGATAGTTGTACAACTTTGTGAATATAGTAAAAACCACTGAATACTTTAAAAGAGCGAATTATATCTCAATAAAGCTATTATTTGAAGGAAGGTTGGGCAATCCTACTTCCGTAGTGATACTGCCTCGGAAACCCAAGGAGGGGTCGCTATGAGTCAGGGCTGACTCGACGGCACATAACA